AAAATATGAGCAGGTGAATCCACCTCTCACCACAAATTTTAATTTGGTATCTAATTATATATTTTCATCTGCATATTTTTACAGGTTTTATTTTACTCCCTAAAATTTATATTAAAATTTATTTTTATTAATTATTTAACAGGAAAAAACAAATTCATTTTGAAACTCGACACTTCACTTATTATAGATAGCTTCAAATACTTATCCACCCTACAAACAACATTGTAAATATAAAAAATTATCCAACAAGTTGTAAAGAAATTAACCAGCATTTATAATAATCTTTCATTGCAAAGTTTATAAACTAAAACAAAATAATTGAAAATTTAAAAACTGAAATAGAATAAATAAAAAAGTTAAAAACCAAATAGATAATCATATGAACATAATCTTGAAAGTCCAAAAACCTATTTGGAACTCTTAAAATGCAAACTTAAAAGATGTACAACTTGAAATTTTAGGGCACAAAAAAATAAAAAATAAAAATAATACTAAAGAATGCTTTACTCAGTTTTATTTCAATTAAGTTTTGATTTTGGTTTCATTTAGCTGTAGCTGATTTGCTGATATGCTTGTTCGAAAAATTCTGAGTGTAAAAGAATGAAGCTGTTAAATACTTTAACGGTTCATGCAAAGGAGACACCAATATTTAGAGATCTTTATTAAAAAGTATCAAATTGGTTAGAAAAAGTTCTTCGAACCACCTACCCAATTCGGGTTAATTTTTTCCTGTTTTTTTGTAAACTTATTTGTACTAAAAAAGATAGGAAGTGTTATTGATTTCTCATTCGAGAAGCTAGACATAAAATTAAACTTTCTAAAATTTCTTCTCCCAAGTGGCTTAGAGTGCTTTTGATTAGTAATCAGAAAACATAAATTTAAAATCAATGGATTCAATTAAAATGATAGTTATATGTTTTCAGTATTTTCAGTTTGTGTTTGGTAGCAAATTTCGTAATTGAATAAAAATTGTTCAATAGTAGTTATAAACTAAATATTTAGTTTAATCTAAACTTATATTAATTAATTTATCAACATTTTTTTAATGAATTTTGTATAATTATTATTTTACAAGGTTATATAATTTAAAATAGATCATATTTTACATGTTTTAATTTTAACAAGTATAAAATGAGTTTATAATAAGATGTAATATATTTATCAAAGTTTTTATCAATTTTTAACGTAAACAGTCAAAACATAAAAAGTTGTTTTCAGGATTTCTACCGTTTAAATCACATAATACCAAAAAATTTTAAAGAACGAACCTCCCCAAATACTGCAAATACCAATTTTAACGTCCACTGACGAATAAGATATATTTGGAAGTGTTAGATTTTAACCGAAATTTCGACTCTTCCTCTTCTATGCGGCATACTTTTTCTTTTAAATTTTTTTCTACTTGCAAATTATCACGTCACATATATTTATTGTCATCCAATTCTAACATTTAGTGATACAAAAGATATAACTGAAAAATTTTAAAATATAAAGGACTAAAATGAAAGTATTGGAAATAAAAACAATCAAATATTGTTTTCTAAAACATATAGCTTAGAAAGAAAGCAAAAGAGCCAATGATTGGGGATAAAAGTGTCATTGTCTAAAAGGGAGAGAAGTTGATTGGGCCAAAACTTTGTAAAGGAGTGTCACTTCAATCCAGCTGCAAGGCAGTAAAACCCATCCATCACTTCAAAATCCAAAGATTTTCATTTTCTACTGCATTCGAATTTCGCACAATTTTTTTTTTTTGAAAGGAATAATTCTTATAATTAATCCAATTTCATTCCCCACAAATCTGGTTTTTTCTTCTTTTGTTTGATTTATTTGGCCTTTCATTGGTGGAGGACCATTATCAATCATGTTGCAACTTGCTTGTACTCTTTTTTTGATCTTGACATTTTTGTCCATATTTCAATAAATCAAAAGATTTCACGTTGATTGAAAAGAATGATATATGTTTTTTGAAGATTCAACTTTTGAGATTGATGAGAAAAATAATGTCACTGTGAGGATATTAATAGATTTAAATTTTATTTTTATTTTGGAAGATTTCATGGTTAATGTATTTCAATTTTTAATCTTATTAATCATAAAATTAAAAAGTATTGCCATTAATACTTTTTAATGAATTATTTAACAAAAACTTAACCTACATTTTATTTATTTAATTGATCAATAAATATCTAAATTATATGATTGTATTGGTAAGTTTCTCGCAAGTTAGCATGGATTTGTCTAGATAAACATGGATGATTGCTTTGCTCAGACAACCTCTATATTTCATATATAGATAGAACGTAATTCAATAATTTATAAGGGTGCTTTTCATTTAGTCATTTGACATCAGTTATATTTTTAGGTATTATTTAGAGCTATATTTATGCTTGTGTTTGCTACTTGGTAAGATAGCGATCTCGACCACTAATGGGATATTTTTAGGATTTATTTTCATAAATGAGTTATTATTATTGGTATAGTTTCTGCTATTGTATCTTTCTTGTTGGTGTTCATGTAGCAAATTGGAAGTCTTTTTGTTCCATTTGTACCTTGAACTTAGGCTACAAGTAATTTTTTCCCTTGCAATATTCTTGAAAAAAATGAGAGAAAAATTTATAAATTTATTTGAGTTTAAAGAAACTGAACCTTTATATATTTGAGTTAAAAGACTTCTCCTACTTTTATATAGTTTTTCTAATGCAAGTTTTTATAGCTTTCTAAGGGTGTTGGCGTAGCTGCAAGATACATAGGAAAAATGGCATAGATAACTTAAAACAGTTTATAGTTTGCTCAATTGACCTTAATTATAAAAATTGACTCAATTGACCCAATTTTAACTTTTCTAATATTTTAGAGAGTATGTAATTACGAATATACTCCCGAATTAATTAAACTACAGCGAGTCTGGCACGGAATCACTTAAGTTGGTGTAATTAAAATCATGGGCGAGTTCCACTTAATTCATGACCATGAATTTATTAAAGTACCACAAACTTATTAATTTCCCACAAAATTTTTGTACTATCATTTAATATATACCCACACATTCGCACAGATTGTAGAGAATAAAAATACATTTTAGTCCTTATCGTCCACATGCACATCTTTCACGTTTTTTTAAGAACTTCCGTACCTTTTCCAACATTTTTCACATCTTGAATACCTTAAAAGAAGTCAATTTTTCATCTTTGACATCTTGAACGATGTTAGTTTTTTATTGGTTCATAATATTGTTTTCAATTCGTCCAGAATATGATGTACGTAGTTGGAGCGAATGAAATTTCTGAACTTTTATGAGTATTTTTATGGGTCAAAAGTTACGTAAGTCAATGCTCGTGATACGACCGTGAATTTGATTCTGTCGAATTTCAATCCCCGTGCAAATTGAACGAGGATATGAATTCTGTCGAATTTCAAGGCCACGACCATGGCCGTGGTACGACCGTGAATTTGGATAGAACGTAAAGTACATCTAATTCACGGCCGTGGTCTTAACTTTCAAGGCGTAAAGCAAACAATTTAATCACGGTTAAACCTAGCCAATTAGTTGTCTTTCATGAACATCATGGTCGTGGTACTATTTTTCACGGCCATGGTTAAGCTAACAAATAGACTAGGTTTTCATGGCCGTGGTCAAGCTAACAATGGGCTATGACGATGAAAATAATCTAGCCCATTGTTACCTTGACCATAGCCATGAAAACCTAGTCCATTTGTTAGCTTGACCAGAGTCGTGAAAATAACCTAGCTCATTGTTAGCTTGACCATAGCCATGAAAATACACCACGGCCTGTAGAGTTCATGAAAGACAACTAATGGGCAAAGTTTGACAAATTGTTTGCTTTACCGTGGCCTTGAAAGTTAAGACCGGGGCCGTGAATTAGATGTACTTTACGTTTTGTCCAAATTCACGGTCGTACCACGACCATGGTCGTGACCTTGAAATTCGACAGAATCAAATTTACGATCGTACCACGGGCATTGACTTACGTAACTTTTGACCCACAAAAATACTCATAAGAGACGAATCGAAAACAATATTAAAACTAAACTCGTTCAAGATGTCAAAGATGAAAAATTGACTTTCGTATTCAAGATGTGAAACATGTTGGAAAATATATGGAAGTTCTTCAAAAAAAGGTGAAAGAAGTGCATGAGGACGATAAGGACTAAAATGTACTTTTATTCTCTGCAATATATGCGAATGTATGGCTATATATTAAATGATAGTACAAAACTTTGGTGGGAAATTAATAAATTGGTGGTACTTTAATAAATTCATGGCCATGAATTAAGTGGAACTCGCCCATAATTTTAATTACATGTGATTCCATACCAGATTCGTTGTATTTAAATTCGAAGGCATATTCGTAATCAAAACTTTTTTAGGTTATTTGATTTTCCCAGATACATGGGTGTTATCATCAAGATCTTCAAGGCTTCCTGTATCGGAAAAAAAATGCAACGTTTTATAATGATGACAGAATACAAATATGTTTTATTTTATTTTTGTTATCGATTTACGTTTTTAGAAAACAATGCTCATTCACTAAGGAGCCCTATGATAACTATCTTATTTTATTTTTTGATTTATAATTTTTACTTTTTGAAGAACATGCTAAATATATATATATATATGTGTATATATATATTTTTTGCAAAGGCATGCTGTTAATATTTTTTTCTTATTTTCAATCTCCATTCAAATCTTCTTTTGAATCATAGTTAAATTAAAAAAAAAAAACAAAATAAATTAAAAAACAAAATTTTGTTTTTTTTAAGAAAATTGTCTAAAATATAATAAAAGTGGTTTTAAAAAGTGAAAAAACATTTAAATAGGCCTAATTTTATTAGAGCCGTCCACGTGTAGTTCATATGTTGCGTAAATGAACGGTTGAGATGGAAGCATATGCGCGCAATTACGCACGAGTGTACCGTCTTCGATTTTTAAGAATCAACGAACATCCGTCTCTGTATTCTGATTCTCTCTCTCTCTCTCTCATGGCAAATCAACCCTCCTCTTACCCAATTCTCTGCGCCTCCTTCAATCAGGACGCCAGGTATGTTTCTCTCTCTCTATTTCTCTGTGTATGGAATCGGCCTGATCATTATTTTCGGTCTGGATGTTCTCTAATTCTAGCTATTGCGAAACTGTTTTGATCGAGTAATTTGTAATCTGGAGGTATGATTATCGTGAGGCACACGAAGAGGAGTGTTGGAAATCAAGCAGTGTTTCTATGTTGATTGAACTATATACTTTGTACGAATTTTGTTTCTAATTACGCATTCCATGTTTCTGAGTTGTTGTGAACTTTCTGGTGACGTTAGGTATGTGTAAATTCATAGTATTAGAGTTATCAATGGATTCTGGGGTTTTTTTTTGAAGTTCTGTAAATAGTTTGGCGTTTAGTAACGTTGTATCAAGTGTGTGGGGGAAGAAAAACAAAGAGATATGAGAGGATTGGTTGACTAAATTTGTGTTTACGTGAAGAGTTTGAGTGTACATGACTTACTTTGGTCCGAATTATTTATCTTGTTTCAATTTCCTTTCTGAGTTCATGTCACACATTCAGCAGAAGTTTGTTAGAGCTTAAGTCTTGAAAGAAAAAGCAACAACTTAGCTCTAAGAGTTCCGACTTACCCACGGAAATTGTAATTGTTGGTGTATTCATGTGAAGCCTCTACTTGATTCACAAAATGCATGAGAACTTGCGATATAGAACTAGAAAATGAAGCCATCTTAAAACAGGTTTGAGAGAAGCTCTACAAAATATAACTAGACAAGATCAGAAGGCCCTCATCTAATTCATCAAACTATTAACGATGCAAATTTTGAGAGTATTTCTGTTACAAACTACTTTGCAAACAAGTACGATAAACTTTGTATATTTCTTGTAAAGTTGTTTATTGAGTCAATAAATTTTCTCTAAAAATGGAGAGGTGACTGTGAGGCTTACATATGATGGAATTCGAATAAAATTCATATTATGCTTCAAAATTATTAGCCATAATGAATGAAACATAGAGATAAGGTCAGACCATAAATGATGAGAGAATCGAAACAAATTTCCAAAAGAAAAAAAGAAAACTGATGTATACATGTAGGGAAATGTTAGAAATTAATTATGTTTTATCTGATATGCATTCTACATTACCCATGAATTTGGATTCATGTATTTTGATCTTTCATGTGAATTAAACAGTGGAACATCATGCACGTATGTATGATTCACAATACTAGAATTATTATAGGAGTCTAGAACTTTCTTTGAAGTCCTATAAATATGTTGGTCTTTAATGTAGTTGAAGCAAGTATGTGGAGAAGAAAACCAAAGAAATTTGAAAGAATTGGTGAACAAAGTTTGTCATTTTGTAAAGAGTTTGAACACAAGTGCTTTGTTTCTTCTCCATTACTTATATTGATTCAATTTTCTCTATGATTTTCCCCATGCTTCCAACGAGTAGAAGCAAATAATAATAATATTAATAATTATAACAACAATAAATAGATAAAATTTTAAGAAATTGGTTTGGTTGAAATTGGCAGTTTATTTGCAATAGGCACAAGAGATGGTTTCCGAATATTTGATTCCAATAATGGAAGGCTCTGCTATGAACGAGGTATGTTTTCTAAACTAGATGATTCATCTCTATTCCTTCCTAGTTTTGATTTTGGTGGCGAAACTGCATTTATGATGAACTAAATAACGAAAAGATGAAATTGGTCAATGAATTTTTATTGTATTGTGCTATCAACAGTAATAAATTAGATTTGCAACACACTCAGACTTGGTAATTCTTTTGATAAGATACTCATGGTAATTAAAGTAGAGTTCTTGCTGTAGCCTTGAATTGTCCTGACAATTGACAAATGCCACGATTTTTGTAGATTTAGTATAAGGTAAATTTTTATTAAATATGTTTAATGCACAAAATATGTCTACAGCCAGAAAAGGTTGGTGTCTAATGTCGCGAAAAGGTAAATTTAGTATAAGGTAACTGAACTAGTTCATGAAGTGTTACTATTAAGGCATGGAATTAGGAATATTACATATTTGCAAAAAGAATTTATTTCTTTTCATCTGTTTTCTCTGTCTCACGCATATAAGTGAACAAAAGGACACAAGGACACAAAATTCAATTTTATGTTGAGGAAAACTAATTTTGATTTTTCTTTAATGGGTTGATGTCTAATGTCACGAGACTCCCTGTTGGTTCAATCAAGTTCATTGTATTTTACTTATAAAAGAATGAGCTTGAAAGTTATGAATTTTGTTTATTTTTACCGTTTAGTATTTGGAAGCAATGAAGCACTCGAGTCCACTCTGTGTTTAATTGATATTTTTTGTGTTCTCTTTTGTTAGCTCTTGGTGCTTTTAATATCGTTGAGATGTTGTTCAGCTCTAATCTTGTCGCCATTGTTGGAGCAGGTGAACAGGTGATTTATAAGTTAATTATATGCTGCAATTCTATACTTTTGCTTATTGTGATTTGTAGAATTTCACATTATATGCTTCTGGCTGCTAATAAATGAAAAAATATTTTTCTTTGATTGTCCACAGCCATCTTTATCCCCACGGCGCCTTTGCTTGTTTAATACAATGAGTGGAAATGCTCTTAGAGAATTGAATTTTTTAACTTCAATACTAGCTGTTCGCATGAATAGGAAAAGGTAAAGAAAAAAATCTATCTGTAAAGTTGCATTATGTTTTTAAAAATGATTATCATATTTTATTTGAAATTTATTATTATATAATAACCATAAAATAATAAAAAATTAATATATTTAATTTCTTGTGTATTTGTTTTATTCGCAACTGCTGATAGTAACCTGAATAAGTTTGTACCGGAGTCAGTTTGTATGCTAATTTTAAGGTGACAGAATTTTGTAAATGCACTTGGGAGATGAATCTGGGAAGATAAATAGGATACTGATAGTTGACCTATACGTCTCAGATCTTTGACATTTCCTTACAGTAACCATCAACTATTTTACCTACCTTTTAAATCTGGTATCCATGTATCAAGCCTGTTTAGATAGTCCAAGAAACCATATTTCTATAATTTAATTTAAGGTCTTGGATATTTGTGACATTTTTGGTTATCCTCTTTCTTCACAACTAGTTTTTTGAACAATATCTTGTAATTTCCATTTTGGTGGCTCCAATCCTCGGTGTTTGGCTTGTGCTTTTCTTTTGCTTCTTTCTGGTTGTACTTGCGTTCTTAAACAAAAGAAAAACAAAGAAAATGTGATCAATAGGTTTATTCATGTATGCATTAGATACATCCTCATTCAGAGAAGAGGAGCTCATGAGTTCATCGAGAACATTGACAGACTGAACTTGACAAGCAAATTAAAGCTTGGAATAATTGTGTCAGTAATTGTAATAACATATAATCAAAGCTTGTAAAAAATTATTTTTGTCTTTCTACCAGTATTTTAAATTGTGCTGACTCTAAGATTTGATGGAAAATGCAGACTTGTTGTACTACTTCAAGATAAGACATATATTTACGACATCAATAGTCTCACAATCTTGGACACAATTGATACAGTACCAAATTCAAAAGGTCAGGTTGGTACAAATTCCTGTAATTACTTGCTATGTCCTGCACCACATGTTCATGTTAGAGAATTTTTTCAAGGTTTCTACCATTTCTTTACATTGCCATTCTGTACTAGAATTGTCATTTGCTCCTTGCAGTGCTTGGAAGTGGAAATTGGGCATTTAACTGTGTCGTGCTTTATATTTATGGCTCAAAATTATAAATAATCTTACTTGCTTAATAAGTTGGGTTTTGATTTTGATGCTTGAGTAACAAAAACTTGCTAAGTGACTGAGGTTCTTTTCCAAAAATTAAAATTGTCAGGAATCTGTGCATTCTCCCCCAGTTTGGATGGTTGCTTCTTAGCTCTTCCGGCCAGCATCACTAAGGGATCTCTATTGTTATACAATGTCATGGAGCTTCAGTTACACTGTGAGGTTTGGGCTTCATCTTTCTTTGTTTTGGGGAAGGAAGAAAAATATGTAGGATACAATCATAAACTGTGCCTGACATGACCTGTAGTTTTTAGAAATTGCCTTTTGTTTTATGGCTACCAGTAAATTTTCATGGTTAGCAATGCAACTTAGTAAATGTGCATCTGTGAGAGTGGGTAAAAATGCACACACGTTTGGAATATCGGGAACATGCATCATCCAGTCTGTACTCTCTCTCTTTTCCCCCCTTCTCCTCCCTATTGCCGATACTCATGGTTTGGGTTTTATTTATCTATTGACCATGACCTTATAGCCAATAATTTATGATATATATCTTTTTTTAGTTGGCAATATTCTTCCTAATCCATTAACAATTTTAGCTTATTCTTGTGCGGAAATTTAACTGCAGATAGATGCTCATATTACACCGCTGGCCACCATGGTCCTTTCTTCAAATGGGATGTACATAGCAACAGCATCAGAACAAGGAACTATGATTAGAGTGCATTTGGTATTGGAAGCAACTAAGGTGGAGAATACTATACCATGCCCTCAAAAGGCTCTGTACATTTATATTGCTTATTTACTCCCAACCACATAAGATGCTCGGGATGATTCTTGAAATCATGATCAGAAAATGGGTTTTTACCATCCTATCCCTTCCAGATCCTTTAATAAGACTTCTTCAATGGTTTTTGAAGTGGTCAGAACAATATCAGTCGTCTGACTGGGAAATTTACTGGAGCAAAGTTGGTTTGAGATTTTAGCATTGACACATTTAAAATTATTTGACAATTTGCACATTTCCTGATTAATCAAGCTTATTCATCTCGAAAGCAGTAACTACTATTTGTTTTTGTTCAGTCTGTCTTTTTGAATCTTTGGGGTCTTTTTTTCCTTCCCTTTTATAGATGGTATCTAACTCAAAATTTTTGGCAGTCATATAGTTTCCGCAGAGGATCATATCCATCAACTATATTTTCCTTGTCCTTTGGGCCATGTTCTCAAGTACCGGAAATTCTGGTGGCAACTAGTTCCTCTGGTTCTGTTCACGTTTTCCCTCTGGGATTTGCTATAAACCAAAGGTAACTACTGTGCATCTGTTTTTCGTGATTTTGTTGTATGAGTATTTACACATTTGTGGGATCTGTTAATCGGCGATCTTCACAGCTAGGCTTTAGACACATTTGTTCTGCTTCCTAGTTATGCTGGTTGAAGTTCGAACCACTTTTATGCATTATTCATCATGTTCCTGCTATTCGTAACTGCTAGTCTTACAGTTACCAACATACCTTTGATTTTTTTTCCTCAATCACTTCATTTTGTTGTTTCTATGTTTCATCACACAATTTAAGGTTCTTAGAAACATATAAATCTTGCAAGTCTGTTGGATCTTGACTATGATATATGAGATGCAAGATCGATTGCCACAGACAGTTTTTCTGGGGATTAGAAATTATTGAAATAGAGGGAGTGTAATGTCATAGAAAAGAACATTAGTGGAGAGGCTTATTATTTGTTGAAAAGATTTGTGAAGTTATGATGATAAATGGTAATTTGCTTGCATTGGTAGAAATTCATCTTGTGAAAGTTAATGAGGTTATTTTTAACTCTTTTCAAGAATGTCATGCCTACGTTGAATTTTCAATTGTGGGTTTAGTCTCTCTTCTTTTGTTTTGTTACTTTGATGTTTTCTTTACTTTTTGCTTTTTAGTTGTTTTCTCATGCAAACCTTCAGTGTTGTTATTATTTTATCTTTTTTAGTTTAAAAATATTTGTCTTCTTTCGTGGAGCACGTTTGTGTTTTGCATGTATTCAATAATGATATTTTGTAAGTGCCTTGTTTCTTATATTCAAAACCCTTTAATTTTTTTTCCCAAGTCAAATCTTCCCTTCTTTCTTGCTATAATCTGTTCATGGTATTATGTAAACATGGAAGTGGTTCACTCTCTCATCCTGAGTCATAAATTTTATTCCATGGGGATTTCATTGGTGATCTGATTGTCCCTATGCTCATTAGCTCGATCTTACCTGGTTCCTTTAATCTCTCAGAAGCAGCAGAAGATCAGGTGGCTTTCTTGGATCAATAATGCCCGACTCCATCAGCGATGCACTGGATCCAGCTAATCATCACATAGTTCATAATGCTGTACCAGCAGGAATCAAAAGGTATGACTTGAATAATGATGTTAACTGAGATAATGCTTTTGTAATTTTTAACCAGTCTTGTACTTTTGGATTATTCAAGGAATCACACACTTCTATTTCTGAAAACCCTCCCCCACCCTCCGCCCCCCTAAAAAAACAAAAGAAAACCAAAGAAGGAAATAAAGGGGTAGAACACAAATAGAAATGACAAGCATCTTCAAGCCACATTTTTTACTTCATCGAGTTTGCTCAAAGTATTCGAAGCATAATGAAGAGTGCCACATTAGCATCCCTAATCCTTCATGTTCTAACCTTGCATGATCAAATGGATGAGTGAAAGGCCAAGTTTGTAATGTTAACCTGCTCTGATAATTTAGCAGGATTTCCATTCTGTTTGGCATTCAAATTCTCGGAAATAAATTTGAAAATGTCAACCACAAACTTCACAATTATAAGATTTAAGTTGGTCTGCACAAGTTTTTTTATTGTCTAGGCTCATTCAAGGTCTTTTTTGACACGATATTTGTAGCTTTCTTTTTTAGTTTCATCCTATTTTTTTGAGATCCTTTGTACCTGGATATCTAGTTTATGGAAGTGTTGTCTCGCAGCTATGCAGTGATACGTAAGGTCGGGAGAGTGGCCGATGCTTCAAGTGAAACTGTAGCTTGCAGGTGAGTTGTTTATAATTTATGATTTGCAACTCTTGAGTGCTCCCATTTCAGCAACTTATCCTCCTGTCTTTTTCAAATGTGTTTACAAATCACATACAAATGGGCATTACAAAAAGCCTAACACAAAAAACATAATGTTAATAAGAAGGCTCTAATTCTTGAGAATAAGAGACAAAAAGATAACCTCAAAACTTCCAAGTCACAAACACTCAGAGGAGGCGTTGAACTTCTTCATGGTTCACATGTCCCCTAGTTTTTTCAACCCCTATGAGAAGTGAGAACTCTTCTATTTTTCTTTGGCTAAATGTTCCATAAATAAAAGTAAAACAGTAAAAAATCAGCAAACCAAATGGCCCTATTGTCTCAAAATGGCAGGTGGAACACATCATCCTTGAACAACAAGATCTACTGTGACCAAAGATACTAACTAAACAAGGTTAAAATTACAAGATTAGGCCTGAACTTTTAGGTTTGTGTCTAATAGGTCACCGAACTTTAAAAAATATCTAATAGGTCTCTAAACTTTCAGTTTTACGTTTAATAGGTTCTTAGGTTCTTGAACTTTTAATGTTGTATCTAATAGAATCTTAAACTTTCAATTTTTTGTCTAATAGGTTCATGAATTTTAAGAAATGGTTGAATAGAATCAAGACCTATCAAATACAAAATTTTAAATTCAATGATATATTATATACAAAATTGAAAGTTTAGGGATTCAATGTTGTATCTAATAGAATCTTAAACTTTCAATTTTTTGTCTAATAGGTTCATGAATTTTAAGAAATGGTTGAATAGATTCAAGACCTATCAAATACAAAATTTTAAATTCAATGATATATTATATATACAAAATTGAAAGTTTAGGGACCTATTAGATATTTTTTAAAGCAATCGAACCATCCCCAGTAAATTCTAAAAGAAAGAAAGCTAAAATGGGCTTCCAAGGCCTCTGAAAGTGCCTTTAATCCCACTATCTGAGACCCATTTGAGTGGGTGAGGTGAGGATTGTCGTTACACAATATATAATCCTATGCACAAAGTTTCCGACTCCAAAAGAGAACTGCCACTCTCCTTTTGTGAGTAAAGTTAGCATGATGAAGTCTCAAGTTCCTTATGCCCAAATAAGAACATCTACGCCTAGACTGATCACGGATCAAAGCGATCAACAATTGGAATTATTTTCCACTATCGAAGAGGGCCATGCAATGGTGCGAACTGAAGATTGAATTGGTATCTGGTAGAATAGGCTGTCAAACAAGTTAGAAAATTCTCTGTTTCTTCTTATGGTTCTTAAAAATAGCCTGTTTTCTTGGGGTGTCAATTGTCATATCATACCATCTTTTTTTATTTATTTATTTTTTAAAATTTGATTTAATATTTTGAATTTGAATTTTTGGATTTTGATGCAGGATCACACTATCAATCATAACCTACTGTGGTTACTTCCAGGAGTATAACTTGAGTCTCAATAACCAGAACGAGTTCTCGAGAAGTTTGGATCGCGAATTTAATCTGTTGACTGCGATCTCCAATAACGACATTATTTCATGAGTTCGTTTCCTCGTTAACTTTCAAGAAGATTGTTGTTTAAAACAGCGAGTGTCGCCATTGACGAAGCTAAGGCTCCCTCGTGCACAAACTAATCAGCCTGGGCAACTTCAGAAGAAAGTCTAATACGGTTAGACTTTTAAAAAGATTCCGTAAATAGAAAAAGGAAATAACAGTAGAATTAGTGGAATTTGTTGATTATAACGTGGAATACGTGTATATATATATATATATGTAAATTAAAATGAAATGTGCCATTTTTTTTCACTGTAACTTCTTTTGTTCTTCCTACCATTTCCTGCTTAAATGATTCATGTGTGGTGTCACTTAATATTATTCTGTATTCTGAATGCAATCCAATAAAATATCTTTTGAAGTTATTGTTTATTAATTTTAGGTTCAAATAGGTCCTGAACTTTGATTATTTTATTTTGGTTTCTGGGACTTTTGAAAAGGTAACCACTCAGGCTTTTATTTATTTTATTCTAAAAATTAATATGGTTTTGAGTATATGTAATAATGTGTTAATGTGAAATATTCAAACTATGTAGATTGAAATTGAGTATTCAATAAGCGAATTTTGGGTGGAAAGGAAAAATAATATAACAACAAATGATTTTCTTTTTTGAAAGTTAAAAGATTAAAATAGTCGTCTTAAAACTTGGGGACAAAAATAAAATAGTTGCTTTTCAAAGTTTAAAAACTTGGATATTTTAAAAGTCTGAAGGATCAAAATAGTACAGATTTGAAAGTTTAAGATAGATTTACCTTTTTCTTTCTTCCTTTGTGAGAAAGAAACTAAGATCTTTTCATCCACCTCAATCATTTGTCCAAATATCCTACTAGGGTAACTAATTTAACTACACTCAAGTTAGCATTTGAAAGAGAGAAATTGATCGAGCCAAGTCTGCACTCATTGAAATACTTTTACTAGTTGATTTTTAGGTGAAAGTACTTTTGTAAAACATGTATGAAACTATTATATGTAGTGGTGTCAATGGAGCAGGGGAAAGCAATTTCCGCTCCTAAAATCATTTATCGTCCCCATAAAAGTTCCTGTAAGATAAGTCGAAGATTTTCTCGGTTTATTTTTGGAAGTTTACACACATACATACATACTTTTAGCTTTTATTCATTTTAGTTCTCCATACTTTTAAATCATATGTTTTGGTTATCTAATTTTTAAAAGTGACTACTTTGATCCCTATTTATAAAATTGTAACAAATTTTATAAATGATGATAGAAACCTTTACTACAAATTTATAGCTACATTTCAAAAGAGATTTAATTAGTGAAGTGTCATGCTAAATTACGATAAAAAAATGAGATAAAAATGAAACAAAATAGACCAAAATGGATGGACATTTTGAAAGTAAAGGAATTAAAATGAACAAAATTTGAAAGTAATGGACTAAAATAAACCAAAGCTAAGTACAGGAACCAAAATAGTATTTAAGCCTATATATATTTTCCATCTCCCTTTTAAGATGGAGAATCCTTGCCCCATTGAGGCAGTACACTGAATTTTGACACATTAATCTTAAAAGTAAAAAAATTCTAAATTTTAGAGCGAAACTTCTCCTAGGAAAATTTGTTATTTGAACAAAATGGTCGATTGGCACTAAACAATACTTGCAAAGAGTATTTTTTGCATACCTTCAATTCAACCAAATGGTCCTTGCAAATTGAATGAAATCTTTTGAACCCACCATGATTCAAAAAGCCTGCCTGTGCCTGCTTTATTCAAGAGCATGACTGCCATGCCAATGGTGTGCCTCACAAATCTAGTCTTTACTGGTAAATAACAAAATCAAATTATAATCTCTATCTTTATGTGGCTGAGCTTTAGATTGTCCAAGAATTAGAAATGGGGAGCAAAAATGTATATGAAGAACAAAATTTCAAGCTATTGTTTTGATATATATCCCTCAAAATGAAATCAAAGCTGTAAAAGTGGTGAACCTGTGATGTCATTTTGAAAGAGGAAACAGGGCACTTCTAAATGCTCAGTTGACAGAATGGAGGTTACAATGATACACTTCTGCCCCTTATTCCTGTTATATTTAGTCAGATCAATACACAAACTTTTCGCTCAAACTAACTTCCAGTGATACCTAAAACTTGACAGCGTCTATGGTCAAATTGATTGCATCGAGTTGCTTCTGTTGATTTTCGAAAAGAAGATTATCTATTCTTGGTCTTCAAAAACTTCACTCTTGAAGCTTTCTTCTCCATCTTTTCTCTCTTCTTGCGAGTTTTCTCATCCTCAGCTACATCCTATATGACACACCGGTATACGCCAAAATGAAAAGAGAGAAGATTGGACCATTTTTAAATTCAGAAATCACGTTTGGAGTAGAGTTTGATTACCTCTGAACCTTGCGACAAGAGTCCCCTAATAAAACCAGAAGATTTGTATGCCCCAAATGCTGGAATCTGCAAAACAAAGAGCAAATGAGCATTAAATAACTTGTCGGTCGTACAGCATATAATTTTGAATTCTTCCCGTCAGATGCACAGACATTTATTAGTATAAGTAATATAAAAATCCTGTTTAGAGATATACCAACATTTATAAATATATGTAAATATGTAACATTAAAGTCATTTCAGAAAGATGCATCATTGGCATAGTACTTTCAACTTGACGAAAGATTCAAAATATTTGGAGACTTCTTGTAGTCATTCAGCCAAATACTCTAGTTATTCATCAGTTAAAAACTAACGGATTATGATTTGGCATTTAGCCAGATAGTCTAGGCCAAGTGCAATGATTCTTTTGTATTTATTGCCGAGAACACTGCATAGAAATAGTTTGAAGCGATGGCAGTAAATACAAATTTTAAGCAAATGCACGAGGTATATATCATCCAGTCGAGAAAAGTTATGCAGCCATACGAATGCACTTTGTGAAACAATATTTTAGTCATCTGGTCTCAAGAAAGTTCTAACCTCGCTGCACGCAAGCTGACTCATGTATATAAAAAAAATAATAATAATATTAAAAAAAAAATGCTAGTCTCGCAGTACAACAATTCCTACCAATTTTTGCCAAAAATATATAATGCTGATGATGCTTATACCTCTTTTAGCCATAAAGAAATCATTAAATAATTATATCCTTTAGAAATGAAGACAGAATCGAACAAGACCCCAAGTTCAAATATTTCACACCCAAATAACATGGCGAGGTCTAGGCTATATATTATACTAAATCTGTCTTAAGTTCAGTCTCAAAATTATATGGAACTTACCACAAGGTAGGTATACCAAAACTTCCCAGAGACAATTGACATTATTTGCACAAAGCTTGTAATGTAGATCACGTCATGCAAGTAGCTGCAGAAAACAAGATGACCCATGAAAATGTTTCACATAATTATTGAAATACCAAGAAACTAGTTATGGATGGAAGGCTAGACATAGATATAATGCAAACCACTATAGAGAGAGGAGATATGGGATTTTAACCCGATACAAGTTCTGCCTATTCAACTCTCACTATGGCAGTGACACCTGTCCCAGGTGCATCTTTCACACAATGTCAGTGCCATGAGGCTTCACAGGACTGGTATCTATGATCCACAGCTGGTGTAGCTTTACCAGAAATCCCAAAGCAATCACCATATAAATTACTTTAATTACGAGTCACATTAATGATCTAACTAACATCAATTGTTTGTAAGGTAAAAAATAGCAGTACGGATTGACTACACAAGTCATGTTGATGATCTAACTGACATCAATTGTTTAAAGCAATCAGTGAAGCGGGACCATTTCCCAAAAAATTTAAACCTGATACCTCTTTACCTGCAAGCTTGCTTATATGTTTATATCCATTTTGAGATTTCCTCAAGCAAGAAAAGACAAAGATAATAGTAAAGAAACTGGTCAAACAACCATGATATTTATGTATATTGTCTTTATTGAGAGTCAATAATCCAATTGACAAGTAAACTAAATAGCAATTTACAATGCAATAAATGAAAGTCAATTTGGGTCATGAACTCGAGGGAAGGAAATTTAATTCAGAGAGGGAACTGTAATAGGATAAAATACTGTAGTTGGAGATCAGTGAATCCAATTTGCACATCACTACCATTTCTCACATTTAGTATTGAATTTTGTAATGACAACCATGAAAATACCTTCAGCTTCCCCAATAAGATTTGATCTTTGGTTAACAATATCATACCAATTCTTAGCATGTTCCAGTTCCAGAGCTATGGTTCACTTAAGATTTGGTCACGGAACAATTATATAAGTCAGATCTGTATTCAAAGATTATACTCTATATAAAGAAGATAAAAACATGCACAAAACTGACATTTAATGATAAACATGAAGAAGACTGAAGACATACCCACAAATTCCACCCGTACTCATATCAAACCCACCATCTAGAAGTTCACCATCATCACCGTAGGTTGGGTTAGCCATTTTGGCAAGTTGATTGTAAGGAATAAAATAAGCTGCTGATGTGACAATCAGACCAATCCAATGTTTCCAAGTGAAACTTGAATGAAAAATCAGCAGCCGAACCATGATATAGATAACCTGCATAAACAACTCAAGTTACATAAAATAAACAACAAAACAATGAAGTCATACCAGTTCCAATAAGCAACACGGTGCTCTTGGGCTTTATGAATGATGGTTACAGTTCAAATAAAAAAAGTTAAACTAAATGACTAAATTACATGATGAAGTTCCAGAATATTCACAGAAGAGTGCTTATCCCTTTGACACAAAAAAATAGTAATCCTTATAAGAATTTGCAAATAAAAAATAAACCCTAAGCGTACTGCATGTAACATAGACAACCTAAATTAGTTCTTCATCCTTAAAGTTATCGAGTCATCTCATATTGCTGTGAAGAGAATACTCTAGACCCTACATTCCTATGTTTCTCCCGTGCATGCATTGACACCTGCTCGACTTTAATTTACAACAGCCTGATCTAGAGATCATACATTTGCAGATTTCTACCCAATAAATAAATAAGTAAAAACTGCCTTCACCATTGGATGTTTACACTTTACGGTATGAATCCGTTTTGTTAAGAAATCAAAGTACTGAAAATCAATCTGATAATTGAAATTTTCAGCTGACGAACAGAGGACGCAATCGATTGTTGCTTCTTTACGAAACAAGTGCATCATCCCACAATTACTTTAGCTCCGAATTCGAAGTCTAGGATGGACGCAACCGAGTATCAACATCATTCTATAATTACTCTAGCTCGGAATTCAAAGTCAAATTTCAAAAGTGTGCAAAGAAAACAAAATGGATTAAAATTTTGACTATAACAAGTATAACTCGATTATCAACACAAGGACGCAATTGATTGAAGCTTCGTAATGAAACAAGCACATCATCCTAAAATTGCTTCCAGCTCGGAATTCCAAGTCAAAATTAAGGAAAATCCGATTGAATTTGGACTCCAGAAAATCTTACAACAAGTATACTCATTATCAACACGAATACTAAATTACTAATAGCAATAATGAAACGGATATAAAATTGAACAAAATTTGAATGAAATCGTTACGTTGCAGGCAATGATGAGGCGGCGGAGATTGGCCATGTGACGAACATTCTCTTCCTTGCGCTTCTTCGCACCTTGGTTAGCCATCTTCGCTTTGCCGGTTCGGAGAAGCAAATTGTTAGCTATTGCAGCAGGGCACCAGAATGAAGCGAGGAGGAGAAACAATGGCGCATCTGATTTCACGCGCAAATCGGGGTTGGTAAGACCATGAGATGTAAAAGAGAATTTAGGATAAATTTGTTCGCATTTTATTTTAGACTTTTCCTTTTTTTTAAGGGAAATAATAATAAATAAATGGTCATAAAATAAATATATATTTATAAAAATATTGTTACTTAATTTTTTTCTTAAATCATAATAATGACTTTTGTCACGTGATTATATAAATTTTTAAATTATGATGTTTTTGTAAAATTTAAACTTAATGCTATAAATATAAATATTATTTAATGATTACATATTTTACCTCGATAATAAATATAATCAAAATTTGAGGTTGTATCTTTAAATTTAATAATTTCTCTGTGCGCTTTTTAATAATCATCTTACCTCCATGAACTATAATAGTTTCAACCACTTTAAAGTAAGTCTTTTATATATATATATATGATTGTTTTCTTTAAAAACCTTATTTTATATATATGATTGCTTGTTTTCTTTTAAAAAGAAGGTTTTTAAAGTAATTAAGTTTTTCTTCTTTGCTTTTTCACCGAAAATTTTAAATTTTTTTAAAATAACTTTTAGTACTTTAAAATCACTTAACACACCCTCGAGTAAGTCTTCAAAAAAAAAAAAAGATTGTTGGCAAATTTTATTTAAAAATTACTTTTCTCCGAACACACTATAGGACTTTTCATCGTATGAGACGAGAAATGTGAAAAAAAAAGGATGTAATAGACAAATGAAATATACTTCAAAATTGTAAAAAAATTATCACTATCTTCTTTTTAGAATATTACATTATAAAAATTAGGTGGGAAGAAGCCGTAGAGATATATTTGGATTAACATTCGCATTTTTTTTTTCCTAAACGATTTGACAAAAGAGAGGTTTATCATTTAGCAAATTTTAAAGATGCCCTCAAGATTTTTAGTTTCTTTCCATTTGCAAACATAATCAAAATTTGTCCAAGTCGAAATTTCACATTATATATATTTGAAAGAAAAAAAGAGCTCACTAAAAACCAATTAAAGTAGAACAGACTGAAAAGAAAAAAGGGAAAACAATAGAAAACTAAAAAAAACGATTTAAGATGGCATTTCTCACGAAGTCAAGTCACGATGGTATCTCCTGCTACGAGTAGAGTACATTTAACTCGTATCTAATTACAGCCCCGAGACACCGAAAAAATCTAGAAGAAAGCTTGCATCACACCTTTGTCATTGAAGAGAAATGAATAGAGTCCACAATCACAAGGCATAAACCAATAAATAACGTGCCATCCACAGGAAAACAGCACCAATTTGCCATCTGCAAAACGAAGTAAACCATATCCCAGAATTCAAACACTACCATCAGTTATATAATTAATCGTTAAATCCAGGAATAAACAATGCCCCAGTTCATACGGGTATCGGTTTTTCGTATACTTTTCTCTTACGATGGACGTAAATACAAATCGACAAATCGAGTATAAGACAAACTATCGCTGGAATGAAATTGAATAGGAACCAGTGTTGGGATCTTTGACAGCCTTGAAGTTGTCCACGCTCATACCAAAGCGACCCAACAAAGAGTTGCCAACATCTTTCAACTTTCCTGCTCAAACAGAAATTATAACATTTCAGATTCCTTGAGGGCTACTAAAGATGTAAAAACACAAAGTTCTAAATGTACAGCTTCTCCATTAAAAGAACAGGCCCAGGGGGAAAACTAAAACAAGGGTAGGTAGAAATTGAGGAAGGGAAAATCTCAAAAATAATAATATATAAATAAAGGCATATTTGCTCATCTATCTATATATATATTTTTTATAATTGAGAGCCGGAACTTTTCTCCCCTATACCCAAGGGCACCCACGCCCAGCGTATTTTCTCATCTATATACACATGCTGAATGCAAAAAATATCTGGTGGCATGTATTTTCTTTACATCTGTGACGGTTAGAGTCAGCTTCACCTTTACAACATTCAGCTTAATATCTTAAGTAGGCACTAGGCAGAGTATCAAAGTCCCTCAACACCAAACCCATACCCAATACCACTACACCAATATGCCTCTAGTTCATTCTAAATAAATAAATGTAAAAGAATTATTATTTTTAAAGTTTTCAGTTAAGAATGTAAACTTTGTTGGCTAAATTTCCAATAGCAGGTGAAGCGAGTTCTGAAGACAAAAAAGAATGAAATATGATATTTAAAAAAAAAGAAAGAAAAAAGAAAAAAAAAAGAAAAGAAAAGAAGATTGGAAAACAGTATAAGGCTTACCAATCATCTCCTCCTTCATCAATATGATATTTTAAAAAAAAAGAATGAAAAAAGAAAAAAAGAAAAGAAAAGAAAATTGGAAAACAGTATAAGGCTTACCAATCATCTCCTCCTTCATCTTTTCTCGTTTTTGTTCAGCCAGTGGTTCCAGGCGACAAATGGCTTTTCTAGCTTGCACATTTGAGGAATCCAATTCCAATATCTTTTTCATATCTTCAAGTAAATGAAATATATATGACCCCATGTGTTGGTAAATAAAAATTGAGAAAGGGTGCTTATTAACAGTTCAAGGACATGCTGGAAAGAACAAAAGAAAACAACTGCCATACAGACTGACCATAATAACAGTACTATAAGCAAAGCAGAGTTTACCATGAATAGCCTCCTCAAAATTTTCAAGCTTTTCATGAGCCTCTCCTCTTCTAGACAAAGCTTTGATATATGCAGGATTCAGTTCAATTGCCTTTGTGCATTCCTTGATCGTATCATTATACTTTTCCTACAAAAGTTTACCATCAATGTAATTAATTACAATATGCAAACACATACTGTCCTGCTGGCATGAAATAAAATGTGGAATTGAAGCAAAATTTCAGAGGAAAGTTCTAGTTTCGATTTATCTTAATGGAAAAAGGCAGCAGTCAGACATAAATCATGTTTACCAAACAAAGTAATTTCAGAAGACAACCTCCAAAAAAAATTTCCAATACCAGAAAATGCTAGACTTTCTCCATAGACATAGAGGATTGCATAAATCATGATTGATATGCACAACTGTCATTTTCCGAATTTGACTATTACTATCCACAACAATGGCTGAGGATTGGCCAATACAAGCTTAGCTCAATGCTAATTGGCACATTTCTCTTACCAAGAGGTCACGAGTACGAATCCTCCACCCTACTTGTTGTATTAAAAAAAACAATGGCTGAGGATTGACCTTTGGACGACCTCTAAAATAGGCCAAACTCGAAGGACTAGTATAATTGCATTTGGAACTTATTTAACAGTTAAAAAAACGACAGTTTTGTGCATAATTGAAAACGCGCGTAGTTTACACGACAAAAAGTTAAAAGATATTGCATAATATTTAGTGCCTAATATGTAAGAAAAATTTCAGATGTGGAACAGACATCAAAATAATCCTCAAGGTCCTCACTTGTTGAAGAACATTAATTTTCAAGTGACTTCTGAAGATTCAAGTGGCTTCAATCTTTTTTTTCTTTTCAAGGATAAGAAACTAACATATTGAAACCAAACCAATAATCTGTTAGGCTTCCATCAAGAATGTTTATGCTAGGAAAGGTAAAAAGGGTAATTGATTCTCTATAAGTTAGTTAAAACTTTTGGGACCAGTATATATGGCAGGCAGAGAGGGACATGTGCTTGGATATATCATTATTTTGGTAGGAAATAGAGTATGGGAGAGTTCCCAGCCCTCCCGAATAGGTTGGCTTGCTTGTTGGGTGGTTTTTCACCCCTTTTGAATACTAAATACATAACTAATAAGTAATGCTCTCCTATGCCTATTGTAATGGTAAGGGTAAAAGAGAATTCTACTCGAAAATGGGCAAGTGGATTGCAAAAGACCTCCCCAATTGGCAAAAATCAGATTAATTATAAATGTTTTTGTCCACAACCCCCAAGAAGAAGCAACAAAGTAGACAGTTAGTAAAAGTAGGAATAGCTCCTATTGACCCTATAGTGACAACTGACATTTGTAGAAACATGATAAAAATATGGTAATGCATGTAATGCATCAAGAAGGATGGAGAATAACGTCTATAAAATGGAAACAGACTGCAATTCTTTTTCAATGTAGGATCTAGCACATACTAGTTTCAGAAAACACACGCCACGGTTTCCATGGCATATAGACCGTAACTCCACTGCAGAGGGCATGTCTGGAGCAATCTGCAAAGCACGATCATACTCTAATATAGCCTCCTCATATTTCCCTTCTCCAAACAGTTTATTGCCCGCTAACTTTGCACTATTTGCTTCAGCCAAGGCTTTCTGCCAGATATGTAATAATAGTATTAGATCCGTACGATTCAAGAAAAACTGAGCTTAAAAAATTGTAAATCCACATAAAGAAAAAACATACCATGATAGTAAGAAAATTTCAGCAGCTTAAATGATCAAATGATTGATTTTTCTATAGAAGAGAACTATTTCTGATATATATTTTTTAAAATATTCTAAGATAAAGCTATTAACGAATTATGTCAGTAGATCATGGGCAATTTAGCCACTTATATTGAAACCAACTGGGAAAATCAAGATACTAAACAGTTACACCGGAAAAAAGAAAGAACCAAATAACCAATGGTCCACACATTCACGAAGTAACACGATATTTACCGTTCTCTGGGGTCCAACACATTTTATCCACCACTTGATCCCCCACAAACTGAAGTTATTTCTAAACAGGTTTTTCTCATCGCTTGTGAAAACACAAAATCAACAGTCCGCGGTATCATGATCAAGGCGATAATTAGGTAATTCATTTTCACATTCAGGAGAAGTAGCACCGCCACAAACATAAATCATTCCAATTTGTACTATAAATGATCTTATGTGCATGCATCAACTCTCATAAAAAAGTTTCAATGTAGAACCTGAACATCATTACTTACCAAGAGGTAAAAAGAATAGGCGACTTCAAATAAAGTTAAAATCGACGGAACAGAAAATCAAAACGTGGACTACTTTAGATAGAGTCAAAAATTTGATACCGGTACAAGAAGAATTCAATCATGATCATCAACTCCGATAATGCTGATCGCAAAAAGCAATATAAAACTGTTGCGAATCAAAAAAACAGCACTAAACAAAGCTCAGAGGTGGGGAAAACCTCTTTAATCTCATCCTCGGTGAGCTCGGGAATTTTCTCCTCCTCTTGTGGATGTTGATCAGGATGCTCTTGCCGCTCATCGCCACTGTCACCAAGCTCCCCATCGCTGGCAGTCTCGAAGCCATCGGATGGGTCTTTGGTCGCATTAGATGTTGAAGCACCGCCGCTTGAATCCATCGTTTTTGTGGTCGATGCAGAGGCTTTCGGAGGACTGGGAACTGCGTCCTCAGTTTCCTCCATTTCTATACGAACCATTTTCTTCCACAAATTAACAGACAAATCGGAAGAGATTTTGAAATGATTTGGTTCAGAGACTCTGGGTTTTAGGAAGAGAAGAAGAGACTCGAGTCTCGACAAAATTGGAAGAGCGGAGACGTTCGGCTTCCAGAAGCCTCTTAATAGATTCTTTTGGGCTTTTAGGCTTTTGGGCCTTTGGGCCTTCGTGTATATTCTGATGATATATTGGGCTAAGCAGGCCCAAATCACCTGAATATTTGCCCCTCGACCGAGGTTCTTTTTTTTCCCTTTTTTTTAAAATTCCTGTCATTGTTAGAGACACAAAAACTATGAAAATGAAAAAAGATAAAATTATATATTACCTTAAAAAGAGTGAAAATCACATCAAATTCGATACATATAACTTAAAATACAAATATAGGTAAATCATTTTCGAAAAAAAAAAAAAGAAAAAGGAACATCAAAAGTAAGCACAAAAGATAGCTTGCAATGGCTCCAAGGTATATGGTTCGGTGCAAAAGTTAAATGACGATCCTATCGAAATGAACTTTGTCTCTTTTTTTCCCTTTTTATTATCATATGTAAGCACGCATGTCGATTAATTTTATGGGACAAGTGTCTGGTATTACTGTATTTAGTTATCAAGATAACTAGTAAGATATTAAATCATAAGTGGGTGACACCATAGTTAAAATAAATCTACATTTTTTTCTAGTAGGGTTGGTGGAGTAACTTTATCTTCTTATTTTATCTTTAAAATTAATAGAATCATAATTACATTTGATAATTGTTTATGGTTTATTATTTTTCGTTATCTACAATTTTAAAATAAAAAATAGCATGTTTTTATATGAGATTAATTTTTGAAATTAAATATTGAATTATTTTTGTCATATTATTTTTAAACATTTATCATACTTTTATATTCAATTATGGTAGAACAGTATTTCTAATTATGTGTTATTTTCAAAATGACACAATTTTAGTACCATTTATTAAAAATTGTAAACAAAATATGTGAATGTTATCAAACCAGTCATTACTGAAAATATTAGGTGCTTTTACTGCTAAGTTGCTCGTGTTGAAAGAGAATGACCCAATATAATTTAATCAATCAAAACACTAATTTCTAAATTCAACCATTCCTTGAATTATTAATTTAAAAAAAAAAACTCATACATGTTTTAGGATCGAATAATTGTGATTTGTTAAGGTCAATAGAGTGAAGCTCGATCTTGTGTGTGGAATTCGGTCTCTGCTGGTTCTCCTAACCGTCTTCTGCACTCAGCCGGAGCTTCAACTCTGATTCATCTCAGTCTTCCTCTGAATCGCCTGCTTGTTCCATGGCAAGTGAAGCTCCTCCGTCATCGGCGGCCGTCGACGGCGGCGCTGCTCTTAAACCTCCTCCTTCTGCAACTTCTTCCGCTGACATTGCAGCTTCCGCTTCTTCGGCTATCGATTTTCTCACCCTCTGTCAGCGCCTCAAGGTAAGCTCAAATGCTGCCCTTTAAACAATTCATTAGCTCGTTGTACTTGTTTGATATGTGGGTTCCTCATGAAAATGCGAGGAAAAGGAAGCAAAATAGAATTCAGAGATGGGGGGTACTGGCGATTTCGGGGCTTTACATAATTAACCAATTAATTAGCTATGTTTTCTTGGTCTGTCTTCATTGGGCGAACATTATGGAGTTCTCTGTATGAAGTTCATCCCGGTTTTGCTTGATGGCTATGTTTAAATGTTTGATTCTGTTATTTTCTTGCAATCTGGATTAGACAACGAAAAGAACTGGATGGATTCAGAGAAGAGTCAAGGATCCGGAATCCATAGCAGATCATATGTATCGAATGGGAATAATGGCGCTCATTAGTTCGGATATTCCAGGCATCGATAGGGACAAGTTTGATATTCGTCACCTTTTACTATTGGCTCGTATTAACTGTTTCATTATTCATTATTTGTTGTGAGTTTTAGCACCCCTGCAATGGTGTGGAAGGTGTTTTGATACTACATTTGTAATTTTGTATATATCTTCAGGTGTATAAAAATGGCAATTGTACATGACATTGCAGAAGGTGAGATATACTTTCTCGTGTTCTTTCTTCTATTCTTTGATGCTTCAACTTCAATCTCATTTGTACTTACAAGTGATAGCCTTAACATATTTATCTTGAATTGTTGGGACTGTTATTATTAAATGACTTTTGTCCATGACTTGTGAATTGCTTGGACAGCAATTGTTGGTGATATCACCCCATTTGATGGGATTTCCAAGTTGGAAAAGAATAGAAGAGAACGAGAAGCATTGGACCACATGTGCAAATTGCTTGGTGGTGGTCCAAGAGGTATGCCATTCAGCCAATCATTTCTTGAGATTCAATCCCAATGGTCAGGATGTATTTTTTCCTGCATATATTGGCTGTCAACAAGTTTTTTCTTAGCTAAATACGCTGTAAATTGCAGCCAAGGAAATAGGTGAATTGTGGATGGATTATGAGAATAATAGTTCGCCAGAAGCTGAAATTGTGAAGGATCTTGATAAGGTAAAAAAAGCTATGTAAGCTTAGTATGTTATGGCTAAGATTTATGCTCAATATCTGCTATGCTTTATCACTTCTTGACCCCACTGATGTTTTTTTTTTAGTTCTTTCAAACAAGCACTTTTCACTTATGCTGTATGTATACTATGCACAATAATTTCATCACTTCTTATCAAAGTTATTTATAAAAATATAAATACTAAAAATAGAGATGTCGAGATAAATAACTTCTCATCTACATTAGCTAATTATTATTGGCAGTAGACAATGGAGCTAGCCCATAGGCATAGCTTAAATGGGCAAAAAGTGGCAGGCTGCTGTCGCAGTAGTTGGTTGATCAAAACTTGTACGAGAATGGTATAGAATAAGATATTTTAAGTGTTCCATGTGAGCATGATTGGAATGTAGCAGTGTGACCAGGTAGTAAACATGATAGGTGTATTTGATTATTATGCTGGCTGCAAAGAATTTCTTGTTTCTGGAACCCAATGCTAGAGAAGTTTCAGAAGCGTTTATCGTTGTGGAAGAAAAGTTTTTTCTTGAAAGGAGGGAGATTAACTCTCATTCAAGCGGTTTTAAGCAGAATCCCAACGTACTATTTTTCTCTTTTTAAAGCTCCTGTGGCGGTTTGCAAGACTTTGGAAAAAATCATGAGAGATTTTTTGTGGGAGGGGGTGGATGAGGGGGGTGGGGCTCATGCAGTTAATTGGGAGACAGTTGTCAAGTCGACTAAGGCTGGAGGTTTGGGTATTGGGAACTTGAGGCGCAAAAATGATGCGCTTCTGGCTAAATGGTTGTGGCATTTCTTCCATGAACCTAATGCTTTGTGGCGGAGGGTCATTGTGAGTAAGTACGGTCCTCATCCCTTTGATTGGGTGGCTGGCGGAGGGCTTAAGGCTAGTTCGAATAACCCCTGGAAGGCTATTTCCACAGGTTTTCCTTTTTTCTCTCAATTCCTAACTTGTACAGTGGGGGATGGTCCTGATACTTATTTTTGGGAAGACACTTGGGTGGGGGAAAAGCCTCTTTGTCTTTTGTTTCCTCGCATCTTTCATTTGTCACACAAAAGGCTGCACTCAGTGGCCTCGGTGTTGGGGAATGGGGAGGATGGGTTGTCTTTATCTCTAGGTCTCTCTCGATCCTTAACTGATAGATAGTCTTGAGAAATGTCTGAGTTGATTCTATTGCTCTCTGCAGTTTCTCTCTTTTGTGATAGGAAGGACTTCCGTGCTTCGTCCCCTAACCCTTCTAGGGGCTTCTCCTCTAGTTCCTTCTTTAAACTCTTATGTTCCCCTACTTCTCCCCCTGCGGCCACGGTGTTTACCGTGCTGTGGAAAGTGAAGATACCGAAGAAGATAAAAATTTTGTGTGGCAGGTCTTACTTTGGAAGGTCAACACTATGGATCATATTCAGAAGCGTTCTTCTTTTTACTTGGGGCCGCAGTGGTGCGTTCTTTGTAAGCGGGATTCCGAGGACCTTGACCATATTTTATGGCAATGCCAGTTTTCCCAGAACATTTGGGGCCGGTTCTTTGAGATATTTGATATTTCTTGGGCTCGTCATAGAGAGTGAGTGTCAATGGTGGAGGAAGTGTTGTTGTATTCTCCCTTTCGCGAGAAAGGGAGTTTCTTTTGGCGGGTGGGGTTCTTTGCAATTTTGTGGGGTATTTGAGAGGAAAGAAACAATAGAATCGTTAGGGGGTGGAAAGAGAGTGGAGTTTGTCTGGGACCTTGTTAGGTTTAATGTTTCTTTATGGGGGTCTGTTTCGAATTTATTCTGTAATTATCAGCTAAGTCATATTCTTTTGGATTGGAAGCCCTTTCTCTAGGCTAGCTTCCTTTTTCGGGGCTGTGTTTTTGTATGCCCTTGTAATTCTGTTTTGTTTTCATTTTTCTCAAATGAAAAGTTCGGTTTCTTATCAAAGAAAAAAAAAAGAAAAGAAGTTCTATTTGATGCTTGCTGTGGCCAGCCTTTATTTACTTTTTCATGGTTTCCTTCAGGTGGAGATGATTCTTCAAGCTTTAGAATATGAAAATGGTCAGTCTTCTTTTCTTGGTATCTACCAACACATATTTTTACTCTTTCTCGGTCATAACTTAGCCGGTTCATCTAATCAACTGGGTTCATTAAGAAAAGCAAGAACGCGAGAAAAGGCAACATAATCTAAGCAACTTATGCCTGCACCTGCCAATAAAATTTCTTACCCACCACAATTCAGTAAATGAGTGCCAAAGTTAGATCGGGGGGAATATGTATGGAATATTTCAGTCTTGTTGGTTGTCACGATATTTTTGTTTCTTTCATGTTCTTAATAATATCATGTGCTAATATCACAGACTGGGATCAATCTACCTAAACCTTTTAATTTGGTTTTACAATCATCTTTCAAATAACCCTCTGTTTTAACTTTTTACGGCTACCTGCTGGATTTACATATTTCTTGTAATATTTCCCTTTGACTTTCAATAGGGTTATTAGATCATTTTATTCTTAAATATCTCGTCTAGTTAAAATCTTTTACTACAATGGATCGAGGTAATCAAAGTTATTTCTCCATGTGCAGAGCAAGGGAAGGATTTGGATGAGTTTTTTCAGTCAACTGCCGGTACATTTATTTATCTTTTCCTGTCTTATATATATTAAGTCTCTCCTTTACTAATTTAATTCTAAATTAAATGATTAATACTGTTTGAAACAAAAGTGATATCTCAAAAAACAAGTATCAGGAACATGAATACTTGTTCTTAAATGTGGAAATCCACCATTCACGTGTGTGCTTTTCTGTTGGCTTCACATTGTCAAATCCTGGGATAAGATGGTATGTCTGGAACATGAATACCTGTTCTTGTCCAGCCTTTCTCTGTCTGTCTATTCAGTTATTGAGATCTGATCTATACGGGTTAGGCCTTAGTGGGGCCAACCCCATTACAAGTCAACGTACTAGATGTTTTAAAAAAAATAATAATAAAGAAAAAAACCAAGTGGCATTTATGTATACTCCCATTACTAGTTAACTAAATATGTTGCTACTGAACTATTGTTTTCCTCAAAAGTAGAAAACTTTGGGCTCATTCGGTAACGATGTCATTTTTCTTGTTTCTTATTTCTCGTTTCCTCTTTTTCATTGAAAAAAAACATAATTGCGTTTAGTAACTCTTTCTTGATTCTTGTTATTTCTTTTTTATTAAAAAAAGAAGCAGAAATATGTTTGGTAACCATTTATTGTCTGAAAAATACAGCGACTCTCGGGTAATTCAAGGAATATGTTTGGTAACTGTTTCTTATTTGAAAATACTTGGACTTTTTCCTCTTTAAAGAAATACAATCCATCGTATTTCTTGTTTCTTGTTTTGATCTCTAAAATTTTGATTTAGTTTTTACAGAATAAAAATTTTGGAAACATTTCTTAAAAATGAGAAATGAGAAGCAAAAACAATTACCAAACACTTGTATTTCTCAAAAATTAAAAACGAAAAACAAGAAACAGGAACCTCACCAAACGAACTCATTATCTTTCAAAATCACTTTAAAATAGTTCTAGGTTTCTTGTGGTTTGTTTCTTGTTTATATGTTTCAGAACAGTTCTCATGACAGAAACAATGAAACTCCCAGACCTATTGTATGAGTTTCACTTGAGAGTCAAAAGAAATAAGGAAAAAAAAACAGTAATATTGTGTGGTATATTAAGAGTGAAAAACGGGTCGAGAACCTACGACCTAGAAGAGAGGGGAGATACTAATGTTTGACCACTTGAGTTCTACAATGGGCAGCGGTCTTGCTGATTATTATTTATCTTTATGCGGTTCCGAATACTACTTATTCCATTGTTCTTCGTGCAGGAAAGTTTCAGACAGAGTTGGGACGAGCTTGGGCGTCTGAAATAGTATCAAGGAGAAGAAGGGATGCTAATGATGGCACAACAGCCAAATTCCCAGAGAATTAACATATCAGTTTACAGCCAAAATTCGAGGTTACAGTTTGTTGAATTGCCAAAACTCTCATCAATGATCCATTGTTAGCTACTTTGTTAAATTGCAAGAGACCATATTTGCATCCTGCTCAAAGGCCTAATATAGGAACCAAATATTGAAATTATACTGGAAGATGAAAGATTAAAAACTACATCAACTCTCAAGTAATTCAAGGTACTTGGACTTTTCCCTCTCCTAACCACACTCAAGACAGAACACCTAGTTTGAGTAACATTATCTGAAGTCGAGAAATATTTGCTCAAGCCCGAGCACGTTGATACATATTGCTTGAATGGTTGTGTTTGGGAAAGTAAAGCCCTCAGTTTGGGTAGATGTCAATCTAAAGAGTATTTCTCAACTTTCTTCTCGAGTCCTTTTTGAAATAGATGAATAGTTCTCCAATAATAGTTCTCCAATAATAGTTCTCCAATAGAAGGCATTATTAATGTCAATGTAAGGAAGGTAGTTGCAAAGTAATAATTTTTTTTTTCAAATTCGTGAGTGTCTAGGTCAACTTATGCGCACCTTGACTAATTTCAAGGGACGGTTGCTTGATCCTATAATATTTGGTGCTGCAAAGCATATCAAAATTAATTTTAAGGCAGGTGGCATAGAGTTTCAAAATAATAATTAATAAGTTTAAACTATTTGAACTTTTATGTATTTTTTTGTTATGGACTTTAATATTTTACATGTTTTGTTTTTCGGTCTTCCAACTTTTATAAATATTTTTAGGGTATCTATAGGATTAAAAATTTTGAATCGTAGAAGAGATTTAAGTGCCAACAACGATGAGAGTGATCAAATTTAGCAAAATAACATGAAGAATAATACAAAGAATGTCTCGAGAGTTAGATAAAATGTATCCAATATTAGGGATGTGAACTTTTAACCATTTTTTGAATCATAGGTAGTAGGTGAATAATTTTTGGTAAATGTCACTTCTAGTTAACCTAAATTTGGATGTGATTTTTCTCTAGAATTTTGAAAGGTAATTATCAACAAATAAAACCTCTCCAAATTCAATGCCTTAATATTATAAATAATAAAAATATATAAAAAATTTTGCTCCTTTTAATAAATTTCAATTTAGTATAATTTTTAAAGTATTAATATTTTATGTCTTAATTTTTTAAAAGAAACATTTTATCACCACAAAATGTTTAAATTCATTAACCAAAAATGATATCACGTATTTTAGAATTTAAATTAAAGTACCAATTTAGAATGTTTTAATTGTGTTCTTAAACTCTGAATTATGATTTTATGGAGTTAAACAAGTTAAATTAGTATAAATAAAAAATGGTTGAATTTTTCTATTTTTGGTTAGTTTGGATTTTTCATTTTTAATTCCTCTTTAATTTAAGATTGGTAATCTTTTAATTCTTAATGACTTCTATTAGAATATGACCAAAGGTAGCTAAAAAAGACAACTCACTCATTTGTCACTTTCCTCCTCCAACCTAAAGAGATTGTCTAACACCAACCAACCATCATTCATATATTTTTCAAAAATAGTTAACCTATTATATTTATGGTATGGTTAAAAAATACTTTTGGTACTGTAGTAAAACTAACGACTTAATCCCGATGTTTTTAAATTTGTGAAAATTTAGTCCCTAAATTTTATTATGTAACAAATTTAGTTCCTACTGTGAAAAAACTTCGTCAAAACTATTGATTTTTATTATATAGCGATTTAGTGTTTTGTAGTTTATTAAAACATTTTGGTTGTTTATTAGTTTATCGATCTACATAAATAAGAAACCCTATTCAATTTTAACATTTTTCACCATGGGAACTAAATCCTTACAAACTTTAAATTAATAAGGACTATATTTGTTATATATTAAAGTTTATGAGCTAAATTGTTACCAATTTCAAAGGATATGGACTAAATTGTTACAAATTAAAATTCATGAACTAAATCATTACTTTAACGAGACCAAAAGTATATTTTTAACCGGCTTAATCTTATTTTGGTCACTGAACTTTAAAGGTAATAATCATTTTGGTTCGTAAACTTACAAAAAGTAACATTTTTTGTCCTTGGTATATTATTTTGCCATCTAATATCTACTTACCCAATACTCTTCTCCAATATATGTTGCCAGTAGGTCTTGAGGTTAAAATTCTAACTCTTCCAGAGTGGTATCTCACTGATGGCTCGGGCCATCCCAGAAGGGGGCCTTCTTCGCCCTTCACCTAAGCTATGCAATAATATGTTAAACTTAATATAAAAGTAAGGTCGAAAATGATTATTTTTCTAAGAGTAAAATACACCTTTTAAAGTTGAGTGAGGAAAATAAAATTTAAACATATATTTATGTATAGACCATGTGTTTTGCACTTCATCCTTGAGATTTGTAAATATCTAAAACTTAGGTTTGGAAAATAATTAAAAATATATATATAAAAATTTCATTATAATGATTAAAGGGGGGACTATTTTTATTTAGAAGTTGTTGTGAGAACCCTATCATTGAATTAAATCAAAAGAAGCCAAGAAAATGATAGCCACTTACTTGATTCAACTTAAGGGATTGCTTAACATCAACAGATTTAATATTTAAAAAAAAATTACAAAAAGTCAAGGGTTCTTTTTTTTTTTAATAAAAAATATAAGAATATCTCATTTCAAATCGACCCTATAGGTAAGAAGAGACAGTGTACTAAAAAAAAAGACAGTTCTGTTTGGATAGAAAAAGTTTAATAGGCAATTTTTCCTATTACATTTAAATGTTAGTTTGATTTAAATATTGCTATTTTTTAAAATTTAAAAATACATATTTATTTTATACATTTAAGTAAATGCCTCTTAAAGGTTGATGAGGATTTCGTTTTTGTATTTTTCTATTTTTAAAGATTAGACTTAAAAATATTACCTTCGCCACGCAGAGGCGTGGTTATCTGAATTGGATTCTCTCTTTTCTAGTGGATGCCGAACCTGCTGCCCCATTGACTGATCTATGTGTTCTTTTGTATTATTATACAGTTTTTTTTTTTTAAATCTAGCAATTTTTTTTTGAAGAAAACAAAAAGTAGTTTTAAAACTTTATTTTTGTTTTTAAATTTGCCCTTTTTTTTGAAAAAAACAAAACAAAAAGTAGTTTTAAAACTTTATTTTTTTTCGAAATTTGGCTAGAAATTTAAATATGTTTTCAAGAGAGATGGAAACTTATGAATAAAATCGGGAAAAAAACAAGGGTGATTTTTAAAAACAAAAAACTAAAAATAAAATATTTATCAAACCACACCTAAATTCTATTATGTAATAATAGGGCAACATATTAACCTTTTTCTCCCCCTTCTGTATGTTAATTGACTGAATACAATTTTTTGTCATAGTATAAAATAGATTAGGTTAGATAAGACAAATATTTTTTTCACCAATGTATATTTTTCGTTTTGTGATACTATTTTCTTTTATCATTATCAAAATGAACATAGATAAGCGATAATTGACATATACAACTAAAAGATTGTCAGTTTGATCCCCACTCCACATGTTGTACTTAAAAAAAAATTATTATTATTATTTTTACCTTGTTAATCAAAAAAGAAAAAATTAATTTGAAATCTTTTCCAAGAAAATATCATTTTAATTCCCCAAAATTTTCCAATGTGTTATCCCTTCTCTTTTTTTTCTTATTATAAAAAGAAAATTGAAAAAATGGTTCTTTCCAACATGACCTCCATTAATCGGTTGGACAAAAAATATATATATATATATTACAAAACAACCATACTTAATATTTAATGGTCAACATTATAGAAACAGAGAAAAGAATAATATTTTTTGTATTTTTTTTTCTAACTTATAAAAAATTTAATAGTGACCAGCAAAACAACAGCTGACGGATAAGTTCCGATAATTTTTTATAACCTGGAGTAATTAAATCAAAATAAATGATAGAAAAGAGAGAGAGAAAAAATCAACCAAAAGATGCCACGAAAAGAAAAGTAGTGGGGCCCACGCGTGTTTTAAACAAACCGGCCAATCACGTTGCCGGTGACAAATTTGTCCTATTATAATTTTTAAAAACACGATAAGCATGATGACATTAATAAAAATAAAAAAATAATAATAAAGACGAAGAGAAAAAGGGAAAAAAAAATATTTTTTTTTTGCGAAGGTAAGAAAAAAATATTTAGTTAAAAAAATAGGCATTATGCTTATTGCTTGTCCATTTTGGTCTTGAAAATCTCCACTTTCTCTCTCTCTCTCTTATTTTCAACTTTACTCAACCAGTAGAAATCTTCCACGTGTTAGCTACTAAAAATGGCCATTACAAAAGTGTCGGTAGGTATAATGGTTTTTTTTTTAATTAATAATGTTTTGCTTAATTTAAACTTCTTCTTATTATAAATAAATCATCAAACATTAAGAGCGTGGCAAAACACTCATAATTGAGTTGAAAAAACAATAAAATATTTAATTAAAGTTAAATAAAGTTTCTCACAATGTATGACTTAGACCTCAAGGGAATTGATTTTTTTTTCAAATCAAAGTTATTGTTTATTACATATATATTTTTTAAAACCAATAAAGAAAATAAAATTCAGTTTAAATACTATTTAGGTCTCTATACTTTCAATAAATTTTTAGGTTGGTTATTTATTTTTACATTTTTAGTACAACAATTTTCACGTTGGTTATTGTACTATCAACTTTTATATATTTTAGTCTATATATTTTCAAAATATCTATTTTGGTCCATGTACTTTTTAAAAATGCTCATTTTGGTTTATTCATTTTCATTTGTCTCCTTTATTTCGATATCACAATTTTATCATGATTCTTCATTCTATAAGTTTACATGAATGAGCTTTTGTGTATAAATTTTTTTGTTAAAATTTTACCAATAAGTGTCAAGACTAAACTCTATGTTTTTAAAGTATAAGAACTAAAATGAACAAAAATTACAAGTAGAAACCACGTTTTGAAAGTAAAAAATCAAAATGAACAAAAACTAAAAGCATCGAGACCAAAATAGTATTTAAATCATAAAATAATTATTCAAATAAAATGAAGGGATGCCTCTTGGAGATGACGCAGTGGCAAAGGAGATGAGATTTTTTTGTATCACCTACTATGAAGTCTTATGTTGAACCATGTACTGGTCGTAGTGTTGCTTAGTCTAGGCAACCAGACTCGTTACAGAAATTTGAGCCACACGACATCGATTTCAAAAAATTGAAAAAAAAAATAACAAAATGAAGGGATAATGATGGAAAATGTACATCATTTTCTCTTTTATGACAAGCCATCTTGATGGTTACTACTTTAAAGAGGGAAATAAAGATTATTGGAACATATGCCTCCATCTCATAAAAGCTTTCATACACAACAATTAA